GGAACCCTTCTCCACTGCTGGTGGGAATGTAGACTGGTGCAACCATTATGGAAATCAGTGTGGAGACTCCTTAGAAAAGTTGGACTGGAAATCCCATTCAAACCAGCTATTCCTCTACTTGGAATTTTCCCGGACAATCTGAAAAGATCATATCATAGTGATATATGTGAGCCTATCTTTATAGCAGCACAATTTGTGATAGCCTAATCTTGGAAACAACCAAGATGCCCCTCACCTGAGGAATGGATGAAAAAGATAGGTAATTTTATACAAGGGAATATTACTCAGCTATAAAGAATGATAAACTCAAAAGTTTTATATTGAAGTAGATGCCACTTGAAGATATACTCATAAGTGAAATAAACCAGACACACATGTGTAAATATCATATAGTTTCCCTAGTATAAGAACTCAAAAAAAGAAATACAAATAGAAAGGTATAATACAACTAAAACAAAAGGAAGAACTTGAGGACTAGAAAATGAAAAGAGGGCAAGGAGAAGAGCTAGGAAACATGACAGGGGCAAGCCATACAGTTATATGTAGAAGATGGGCAAGGCAATGATCCTGAACATCTTCAGAAGATTTTTGAATCAAGCAGTTTACTGGAATGATTCTTAACCTGACTAACTACATATACAGACACCTGTGAAAACTAAGCAACTGCACTGAAGATGGCAATTTGTAATAGTAGATTCACGCATGCAGTGCCTGTCATTCTGGTCTTCTGAATACGGGCTGCTTGTTATGACATGCCAGTTGCTGCCGTGCTGTCTCTCAGATAGACAACTGTTCAAAAAGAAGGAGGTGGTGAATGAAGGCAGGAGACAGGAAGAGGAATGTTTTGGGTCTGTCCTGCTACAAGGTTGTATGTGGTTAGATTTCTGGACTTATGTGTAAACATAAGAATTATATTATTCTTTATGTCTATTTTTAAAATATATTTTAATTTTTTAATTTTTTTTCATCATTCTGTAGGGACTTAAAGTTCTACATATCAATACGTGATAAAAAAAATACCTGTTCCATGTTACGTCTAAAATGTTTGATATTCGGACAGATAGGGAGATTAAGCTTAACAGCCTAGGTTGTATGGTAATAACAATAAGCATCTCTTCTGGAGGGTTAACAACCTATGTTTGCAGACCAAAATTAGAGAAAAAGGAGGGCCGCAAGTAAAGCCAACATTTTGGCCCTAGCCTTCCAAAGTCAATTAAGACTCAGGACATATGAGAACTTGTACACACAAGTCCAAAAATCTCACCATATTCAACCTTGAAGCAGGACAGTCCCACAATATTCCTTTTCCTGTCTCTTGCTTTCCTTCACCACCCCCTTCTTTTTGAACATCCACCTACCCGAGAGACATCATAGTAGCAACTAGCATGTCATGACAAGCAGCCCATATTCAGTAGACCAGAATGACAGGCACACCAAACATGAAACTACTATTACAAATTACCATCTGCAGTGCAGTAGCTTAGTTCACAGATATCAGTATATAGAGTTAATCAGGGTGAGAATCTTTCCAATTAACTGCTGGATTAAAAAATCTTCTGAAGATTCTCAGGATCATTGCCTTGCTCATCTTTTACATATAACTGTATGACTTGATATTGTCATGATTCCTAGGTCTTCTCCTTTCCCTCTCTTGATTAGTTACTCCTTGAGATCCTGCTTTCCTTTAACTTGTATTATATCTTTCTATTTGTATTTCTTCTTTTGAGTACTTATACTAAGGAGACTATATGATATTTACAAATGTGTGTCTGGTTTATTTCACTTATAAGTATATGTTCAAGTGGCATCCACTTCAATATAAAGGCTTGGAGTTTATCATTCTTAATAGCTGAATAATACTCCATTGTGTAAAAATACCACATCTTTCTCAACCTTTCCTCAGGTGATGGACATCTTGGTTGTTTCCAAGATTTGGCTATTACAAATTGTGCTGCTATAAACATAGGGC